TTCACCCCAAATAACCAAAACACCTAAAAGAGCAGCAAAATTGTCTACGTAGTGACTGTGCCTTGAGGTATGGTGGCTGGACGCGCACTACACACTCCTGGCAGTACACGTGGACAGGGAGCCAGTGGGTGAGGAGGAGGGAGGGAGGAGGAGGACGAGAGGGAGGAGGAAGGAGGAGGAGGAGGAGGAGGAGGAGGAGGAGGGAGGAGGAGGAGGTAGGTGGTGTAGGAGGAGGGGAGGTGGGAGGAGGAGGAGGAGGAGGAGGAGGGAAAGGAAGAGGGAGGTAGTGGTGGTAGTGGTGTAGGAGGAGGTGGTAGAGGGGTAGGAGGAAGAGGAGGGAGGGAATGAGGAGGAGAAGGAAGAAGTTTAGGAGGAGAGGGAGGAGTAGAAGAAGAAGAATGAGACGTAGAAGATATAGGGGACATGTAAAGGCATTGAGGAAGAAGAAAGAGAAGGAGTAGAAAGAGAAAGCAGCAGCAACAGGAGGAGGAGGAGGAGGAAGAAGAGCAGTCGCAAGAGAAGGAGGAAAGGGAATGAGGAGGAGGTACGGAAGAACAGAAGGAGGAGGAGGAAAAGTGAATAAGGAGGTGTGGAAGAACAGGAGGAGGAAGAACAGCAGCAGCAAGAAAAGAAGAAGGAAAGGGAATAATAAGGAAAGTGTGGAAGAAACAGGAGGAGAAGGAAAAGCAGCAGGAGAAGGAAGAAGAGCAAGCAAGAGAAGAAGAAGAAGGAAGGGAATAAGAAGGAGGCGTAGAAGAACGGAGAAGGAAGAAAGAGCAGCAAGAGCAGAAAGGGAAAGGGGAGCGTAGAAGAGAGGAGGCGTAGAAGAACAGGAGGAGGCGTAGAAGAACAGGAGAAGGGGGAGGGAGGAAGGGGAGGCGTAGAAGAACAGGAGAGGAGGAGGAGGCGTAGAAGAAAGGAGGAAGGAGGTGTAGAAGAACAGGAAGGAGGGGGGGGGGGGGGGGAGGGAGGGAGGAAGGGGAGGCGTAGAAGAACAGGAGGAGGCGTAGAAGAACAGGAGAAGGGGAGGAGGAGGGAGGGCTAGAGAACAGGAGGAGAAGGGAGAAAAGGGAAAGAAGGAGAAGAGGAGGAAGAGGGGGAGGGAGGAAGGGGAGGCGAGAAGAACAGGAGGGAGAAAGGGAGGGAAAGAGGAGGCGTAGAAGAACAGGAGGAGGAGAAGGAGGAGGAGGAGAAGGGGGGAGGGGTAGCAAGGGACGGGAGCCAAGATGACGCGACCTGGCCTCAACACAAGAAAGTGCTGGGCAAGAGGGACCTACTATATGCCCTGGGGGGGGGGGTTCCAATTATGTCCCGATGTGCGATAGCTTTAATTGCTTTTTACTGTTATTCTTATCGTGTGTTCATTTAATTCATTTTTCTTCTTTATTTCTTTATTTATTTTTTGTTTCTTTTATTCGTTTATTTGTTTGTTTATCTTCAGTTTTTCATTGATTTGTTTGTTTACTATCCGTTTTGTTTATTTGTTCTTCACTTCTTTCGATTTAACAAGAAATAAAGAAAAACAAATAAAAGCAGCGGAGAAAAATATTAAGAGAACATTCTGTAATACATCATCCACCCCGTGAGAGAGAGAGAGAGGAGAGAGAGAGAGAGAGAGAGAGAGAGAGGAGAGAAGGGGAGAGGAGATAGAGAGAGAGAGAGAGGGAGGGAGAGAGAGAGAGAGAGAGAAGAGAGAGAGAAGAGAGAGAGAGAGAGAGGAGAGAGAGAGAGAGAGAGAGAGAGAGAGAGAGAGAGAGAGAGAGAGAGAGAGACCCCCACACTTAACAGAGACCTCCATCCGTCAACACTCGGCAACAACAAGGTCATTACCATGGCGACACGATGGAAGCGACCGAACCAGAGCTCCATTTTCACGAAGCGTCTCACACACGAGGAAGTTCCCTTGGTCGTCCGAAGCTCCTCCAGCAGAGCGGTTTTTGTCACGACGTTGCCAGCTCTGACGGAGGAGAGCCCCCAGTGACGGAGGAGACCCCAGTGACGGAGGAGGCCCCAGTGACGGACCGGACGGAGGAGGCCCCAGTGACGAGTGACGGAGGAGGCCCCCAGTGACCTGACGGAGGAGCCCCCAGTGACGGAGGAGGCCCCAGTGACGGATGACTTCATCTTGACCTAATCTCCGGGTTTTTCTTCGTGTCCTTTAAGCGACTTGAAAGAAGCGGGGAGTTCCTGGAGTTTATTGAGGGTTTTGACTGTGCTTGGGTCGTGTTCGCAACTATGGGATCGGTGTGATTACAAAGGCAAAAGGGAGAGGTATTGCGTCACAGTGACTTCTAATCAAATTGGTAAGAGATCCATACACACCGATTAGTGTAGTGGTGGAAATTGATTAAAAGAGAGTGGGGAGAGGGAAGAGAAAGAGAGAGAAGAGAAGTAAAAATGAAAGAAAGAGAAAAAAAATGAAAGAGAGAGGGGGGTAGGGGAAGAGAAAGAGAGAGAGAAAAATGAAGGAAAGAGAGAGAGAGGGAGAGAAAGAGACAGACAGACAGAGCCAGAGATAGAGGGGGGAAGGAGAGAAAAAAGAAAAAAAGAGAGAGAGAGAGAAAGAAAGGTCAGACTTTAACCTACGTATATACCACCCCGCTTCACCACGAAGGCAAAAATCCCTCTCACAGCCACCATACCCGAAACAAATCGACTCACATCAAGCTTTTTAATTCACGCAATTTCTTCTTCTCTCCCGCTAGATAAGAAGGGCGTTTCGACTTGGTATCTCAGGGGCGTTAGTAGCATTACCCTGGGACGGAGGCGGCTCCCAGGGCTACTGGAGAGGTGAGAGGTGAGCCAAGGACAATAACTCACATCTATGGACGTCGAGGTGATGTATTGCGCCCACAGGGGAAAGAGGACTAGGCCTATTAATGCGGGCTGTGTTTCCTTTTTATTTCGTGATATTTTTTTTTTAACGGTGGCGGATTTTTTTTTTCATTTCTCTTTTTAATTTCTGTCTGTCTCACTGTTTTTCTCTCTCATTTTTTTTTTCTCTCTCTTGTTTCTTCTTCTCTCTCTCTCATCTCTCTCTCTCTCTCTCTCTCTCTCTCTCTCTCTCTCTCTCTCTCTCGTCTCTCCTCTCTCTCTCTCTCTCTCTCTCTCTTCTCTCTCTATCTCTCTCTCCTCTCTCTCCCTCCTCCCTTCCTCCCCACCTTCCTCCTTCCTCCCTTCCTCCCTCTCCACATAAACACTGTTCAAACACGGAGACAACACCACCCTCATTATTCCGGCAGAGGTGACAACATCCATCAAAAATCCGGCACATATTGGAGGCCAGACACATCACCCGGCAGTCCCATTCTGACCGCCGCGATGGCTCCTCGTTCTGGCGGCTTGGTGGGAGCTATTACAGTCGTCCGTGAGGGAGGAATAGCCGAAGAAATTGGAGGAGGAGGAAAGAAGGAGGGTGATAGGCCTAGTTCCCCTGCGTTACGTCTGGGGAGTGTCCGGAGTGAGGGTTTCCGAAGCGTCCGATGATAAATTGCTCTGTCGCGATTAGGTTTTTGTTTTTTTTTTTATATCCTTTTTTATATCTTTCGTCTTTGCTTCTTTTTTTTCTTCTCCTTTTTTTTTGCATTGTCTTGGAAGACTGTCAAGCCAGACTCCACCGCAATCAAGAGCAATTCATCTTATGTCAAGAGGCATTTTAAGCTGGGTGAAAACTGCATTTTTTTTTTTTTTTTTTTTTTTTTTTTTTGCGTGGGACGGCGAATGTTAGAAATGTTAATTTGCAACATACAATTTGGTTTTTCCTCTTATCGTTTTTAGGGTCAATGATTACTTGAGTTTCTATAACCGTGTATTTGTATTTCGGATTGTTTTCCCTTGCATTCCGTCTCCTTCTCCTTGCTATTATCTTTCTTTGTTTGTCTGTCCTCTCTTCTCTGTCTGTCTGTTCTCTCTCTCTCTGNCCAAAACAACGGAAGTGCGTGTTATATTTTGTTAACATTTAAAAAAGAATAAAGATGTCCATATCAGGATATCATTGTCTTATCAGCTCGCTTTTATCTCTCCCAGGGGTGGATCCAAGATTTTTTGGAAAATAGAGGTAAAGCCCAATTGCGAAGCGAGAAGTGCTTTGAAGTCTTTTACAGGAAACTCTGAACATTGAAGATCATTAAATATGCGCAGGCGGTCAATAAAGATTCAGGGTTGAAAAATTGTCCCAAAAATAGGCTTCACTTTGGATCCGAGCCTGTAAGCAATAGAATTTAACTCTTAATCATTACACTATTAAACACAAAAGGATTTACTCAGTTCGGCATAATAAGTAATTGAATTCAGATTTGCTTTAATATGATTTCTGTGCAATAATTGTTTGTTCGTTTAATCAGGATACGTTCTAGGAGGGCACAAAAAAATTAGATTTTATGTACATTTTCTGTATCATTTCTTTGAACTGTTTTTAATATGAGTTTGGGATTTCCCCCGATATCAATAAAATAAAAAAAACATTGAATTTGCCAAACTTTCTCAAAATACTCTGATGAGGAATTAGTAACAGATTCGAATACTTTAAACCAATTTTTAGTACTTTTCTGTGTCAGGGCACTACACCTGCAAATATCAGATACCACAAATAACGGGAATTTGCGTAGAAGGAAATTGGCAGAAGTGTCTGTAATTTTTTCGCGAGATAGAAGTTGGCAACAGTGTCTATCTAATCTAATGTTAAAAAGTAATTGAAACAAAAAGCATGAATAGTGTAACATAACACCACTGCCTTTTTCCTAGCAGAAAACACCCAGGAAATCAACAAATACCCCAAAATAAGAACAACGAACACCAAATTATAAGAACTTTCGCGAGATGGTATTTGGCAACAGAGTTGTTACAATTTTCGCAAGCTAAAAAGTGGCAACGCTCATTCCTGGCATTAAAGTACTAACAGTAAGAATCAAAATACTATATTTCAATTCATAATATGTCGAATTTCCAGAAACACATCATATAAAACGGGCAATTAATACCTTATCGCAAGATTTCTCACGAGATGGATATTGGCATCAGTGTATCTTGACAAGTCGGAGTGCAGGAGCATTGTGAACATTCAACCAAATTCAACATTTACGTGCATTTTTTATTAGCTTTAACCTCAGCCACTGTGTGTGGTTGTGCCAAAAGGTGAGATAAGTGCCTCATCAACCTGGCTTCTGTGGTAGATAAAGTAGTTTTTGGTTTAGGAAAGAAAATAAACAGTAGAGGGAATGAGTGAGAACTGGAGAGGCAACACCCTCGTTCTCTCATGTTATTGTAAGGTTTTAAGGGGCATTTTACTGTTATTCTCGGGTTATTTAAGTGTTATTCGAGTGTTATGTAGGTGTTCTTTGATGCTGATGTGTTATAGTAAGTGACTAACGTGTTATGGACTCTTACAATATTTCCCTTGTTCTCTGTGTTATTTCGCAGTTTAGAGTTATTTAATGCTCTTTCACTGATATGTATTACCGTGAGTCATATCCTACACTCTTTTGACTCTGACCAGTGTTATTTCATAATCTTTAGTGTAATTTACTGTTACATTATTGTTAGTTCAGGCATTGCTTTATTTCAACAGAAGAATAATGACCTACATATTTTCCTTCGGTTCATTAAGTGCACAGAATACGACCATGAGCAATGCTATGGCCTGTGTATTGTAGGGGAGACTAAAAAAACCTCCCGCACGTGCAATCAGCATGACGGCCTGAGTCCTTATTCCATAATAAATATCCAGAGAGGTCGTCAAGCCTCTGCCGTGCAAGATGTGCGTAGTGGGGGTTTGTTTGCCTTTATTATAGGGCATATGTAGAGGCCATTACTATGTTAGACTATACTGAATGATAATTTATGTACTTTGATAAAAGATTGAGGTATTATCTTCATTTTCTGTACAGTAAGGCTGTACAAAGAGAGAGAAAACTTTTGTAAAAGCCTTACAAGAGTACATAGCTGCACTAGAAATAATGTACTGAAAAATGACAGTAAACCCACTGTTGTTTACAAAGTCTGTGACTATACGCTTGCACAAAAAATTGCAATGAGACGTTATCTTTCGTGCTTAACACTACTCAGGCAAAAAAAAAACACTTTGGCTGTTTACATATTAGCAAGATAGAGTTTGTTGACTTGTCTCGCAATTTAAAGTAAAAAATGAACCATTCCATGTTTTATCTAACTGAACAAATATCTGTATGATCTGATGACATGTGCTAAGGTATGGAGCACAGAGGCCATGGCAACGGTTGATGTTATCTTATTCGGAATAATTATTGATATATTTTTTGTTTAATCAAGAGCAATTTCTGTTTTTTTTCCCTTACTGTTATTTTAGCTTTTCTATATTATTTTGCTGTCCTATTTTGAATATTTACTTTTGATTCATTAGAAAAGAAGATATAAAGAGCTTGATCTTATTCTTTATAAGATGATAAATTGCCAAGGGTGATTACAAGCTCCATTTTACCAAAAACAAATGCAATGGGGGTTCTATGTTCTTTGCCATAACGCCGATGGGTTACTGTGGTTGCACCAATTGTGCTGGGTAAGTAGTACGAGCAGATGTTGTCTATGCTTTTTAAATATTGTTATGTTTAGAGGAAATTTTCAGTTTAAATCATGTTCTACATGTATAATCTTGTTTTTTTTTTAACCAAATGAGAACCTCCCACACTTGAGATGAGGCCACCAACCCTACACCATTTGTCTTTTGTGTACGGAGAGCTTCTAGACATCCATAGGGATTTATCAATTAAGGAAACAGTCCAAAGTCTATCTTTCCAGGATATGGGTGCTGGAGGTTAGTTTTCATTCCTCCAAATTAGATACTGCAATCTTATCTAATAGGATAGAAATGAAGAGAAATGAATTTTACTTGTGTTTTTCCAGAGGAAAGTGAATTTTCTTACTAGTTTTCTATTTCTTCATTGCTTAGTTAAACATTCTTTTTTCCCTATCCTGTGTGTGTGTGTGTGTGTGTGTGTGTGTGTGTGTGTGTGCGTGTGTTGTGCGTGTGTGTGTGTGTGTGTGTTGTGTGTGTGTGTGTGTGTGTGTGTGTGTGTGTGTGTGTTGTGTGTGTGTGTGTGTGTGTGTGTGCCTGTGTGTGTGCGTGTGTGTGTTGCATGTCTGTGTGTGTCTTTGTCTGTGTGTATTTATGTAAGTTCGTATGTTTGTGTGTATGGAGATAAGAGATAGATATTAATTTGAAGAAAAAGAGGAATTAGATAAAAATGAAGAAGAAGAGAATGATTCAGAGAGGGATTAGAGAAAGATATAGAAGAATTAGAAGAGGAATTAGAAAAAGAAGAATAATGATAATGAAAAGACGACTCAGAAAAGAAATAAGATTTAAGAGGCATTAGAAAAAGAAAAAGAAAGGAGATTAGAAGAAGAATTAGAAGAAGAAGAGGAGGAATTAGAAGAAGAATTAGAAGCAGAAGAGGAGTAATTAGAAAAAGAAAGAAGAAGAAAAAGGAAAAAGGAAAAAAAAGAAAAAGGAAGAAGACGATGAAGGCAGAATGAAATTGGGAATTTGAAGATGCTCTATGCTAATCATGTTTCTTCACATGCCATAAGATATGATGTGGATTCCTAGTAAATATTTAAGTTTGTTTTTGAGTGATTTGATTGTACTTTCATAGCTGCCTATGTTGAGGTGTGAAAAGATATTTGCTGAGTCTTACACAATTTGTTTTTTGGAAATTTCCTCGTATATATATTCATGATGAGATGATCACACTAGTCTTGTTTGTATGGGATCCCTAGACAACCTTGCTGAGTGTCTGTCAGCTATAGAGCAGGATTGGTCACTGTGCACAATATCCCCCCATGGAGAAACATCGTCCCAGAAAAGACCAAAGAGTCTACAATATTCTGGTGGATGAACTCTGCATCAGATAGTCATAGATTCTGTAAATATCATCGCATATACTGTATACTGAAAATTTTCAAGAAAGAAGAAAAGCCAATCTACCCATTTTGATAATTATCATACATTATACACATTACCAGGTACCCCATATATCAACAGAAATAGAAAATCCGACAATTTCTCTCCAGTAGTACATTCCAGTAGTAGTGCAATTTGTAATGTATGAGAGATGTAATTATGGACTGATAAAAAATAAAGTTCAGAAGAAGGAAATACTACAACTTGAATTGAGTAAGATATTAGTAATTGTCGATCAAGACACAGCCTTGCCAACCTTATGATTATACCCCATGCAAAGCTGTTTCTTGTTGATTTCATTAATTTTTGTTATTTTTAACTCTGGCATCATATTTGTGGATGGTATATTCCATAATTGCTCTATGGCTCGTACTTTATCCAGCAGGGTGTAAATAATGTCTGTCTGAGTGAATTTGTGTTTGCATTCCTTGAGCAAATGAACATTGTCTGGATAATCTGTAGAATTGTAGTGAGGCGTCATTGTTTTGTTGTAAGATACATTACTTATTTTTACAGTACAGTCTTACTAACATATGATAATCACCATTTAGACAATAAAATAGTAAGCTTCCTAATGATTATACCAGTTTTTGTTTTGGCATCATTTTTCCCTCTCTCGCTGGGGTAAAAAACCAACACAGCAATGCTGCTCTAGGCAGGGATTTTCATCTCTCTTAGCTTCACAGCTGGGGAGGTATTCAGCTCATTAAAGGGATCCCTGGACAGAATAGACTAGTGTGACTGCCTCTTTAGTGTTATATTAGAAGTAAGGGGATAAATTGTTGGAAATGTTGATATTTGCAAACTGAAATGAAGGTATCCTGATCTATGAAACCGTTCAACAAAAAGGTTGTCACAATTTACACCAAAGTTTAAACCAATTCAAATACCTTGTTAAAACTATGGCTAACAGAAGTAAGTGTAGTACTCACAGATGTGAACAGGGACTGTTGGTTCCTCTCCAAACGTTGTTTCAGTACTGTCTGACATCCCAAATGTGATCAAGTTGTTCTGCCATCACGATCACCTAATTCATTAGTTTCGTCATGTCAGGTACATGTGTGTATGTTAATAACTTTGACTTATACAGTTGCCAAAATGGAGGGTAGGTGGCAGAGAAAAGGTGTAATAGGACAGTATTAAACAATGTTTGTATAGTCGTGTTGTCAAATCATTTACTTATCCAAGATAGCTGTGATAAACTTAAGATGCATGTATGATGGGGAACCTTTGAGAAGAGATGGAAATCTCTATAGCTCATGCATACTTGTGTACACATATCACACATAGCATGGTGTTGCAACCATTGCACAAGCATAAGGTAAAGGTGTTATGAGATGATATAGCAATAGGAAGTTCCAAGAGCAGCTGTTAATAAAGGCCTGCATGATACCCATGTGTGTGAAATGGGAACAAAAGTAACAGAATGTTGGTGATGAAATCTGAAAAGATTTGAAATGCCATGTAGCTTGCAAGAAAAAAGTAATAACTAATCAGAAACCAGTTGGCCAGTGCAGTTGATGGTATGTATTTATGCAGTCAGTAGATCCAAACAGTTGGAGACAGTATACTGATCAAATAAACACAGGAGCCTACAGAAAAAGTATGTAACATGTATAATGAGAAATAAATCTTATTTGAAATAGAGATGAGCAAGTGCAACTTATTACTGAGTCATCTTTCATCTTTGACAGTCATGATCTTATAATGTGAATATGTATATACACACCTCTGAGAATGACTTGCATGTCACTTTGCTTAGTCTTGGAAGGGGATAAAGGTACCTGCAGATCTGCCCATCTCTCATTACATCTGAAGGAATTTTCAAGTCAAGCCAAGATTAGTATTTATCATACAGCAGTACTTCTTTGTGTGCATTAAGGAAGGTAAATATTGAAAGTTTCTGAATTACAGCCTCAAAATTCTGGAGAGAAAATCTGTAGGAAGACCCATATCAGTCCCTAAACCCTTAATGATACCACTTAATAGAGTATTTTTTTGTTGCCTTGGTGATCTAATGTGGTTGGAAGTACAGGTTGAGGTAATGGTTATGTGTAATAGTTC